GGGGGTCCTCCTGCCATTCTGGGGGTCACTCCTATTATTTCAGGGGGTGCTCCCTTCATTCTGGGGGTGCTCCTATTATTTCAGGGGGTGCTCCTATTATTTCAGGGTGTGCTCCTGCCATTCTGGGGGGTTCTCCCGTTATTTCGGGGGGTACTCACGTCGTTCTCGGAGGTGCCGCAGATGTTGCAGCACTTGCACTCGATGCACTGCCAGCGGTACGTCTTGACGGCCGCCATCATCACCGGGGTGAACTGCAGGCAGGAGGGGTGCCCTGCGGAGCAGGCAGGGACGGGTGAGGGATGGGCAGGGGGTGGGCAGGGGACGGGTGAGGGCAGGGAACGGGCAGGTTATGGGCAGGGGATGGGTGAGGGTGGGGGACAGGCAGGGGATGGGTGAGGGCAGGGGATGGGTGAGGGCAGGGGATGGGTGAGGGCAGGGGATGGGTGAGGGCAAGGAACAGGCAGGGGATGGGCAGAGGATGGGCGAGGGCAGGGGACAGGCAGGGAACAGGCAGGGGATGGGTGAAGGCAGGGAACGGGCAGGGAGGAAAGGGACAGGCAGGGGATAGGTGAAGTCAGGGAGGAAGGGGACAGGCAGGGAATGGGTGAAGGCAGAGGATGGGTAAAGGCAGGGGACAGGCAGGGGATGGGCAGGGGATGGGCAGGGGATGGGCAAAGAGGCAGGGTCCAGGTGAAGGCAGGGGACGGGCAGGGGATGGGTGAAGGCAGGGAACGGGCAGGGGAACAGGCAGAGGATGGGCAGGGAATGGGCAGGGGATGGGTGAAGGCAGGGGACAGGCAGGGGATGGGCAGGGGATGGGCAGGGAATGTGTGAAGGCAGAGGATGGGTGAAGGCAGGGAACAGGCAGGGGATGGGAGAGGGCAGGGAATGGGCAGGGGATGGGCAGGGGATGGGTGAAGGCAGGGAACAGGCAGGGGATGGGTGAGGGCAGGGAACAGGCAGGGGATGGGCAGGGAGGCAGGGAATGGACAGAGGATGGACAGAGGACAGGCAGAGAGGCAGGGTCCAGGTGAAGGCAGGGGGTGGGCAGAGGATGGGCAGGGGACGGGTGGCTGAATTCTGCTTCTTTTGGCCCATTTACCCGGGATAATTAGCCACCAGGATAATTAATTAACCAGGTGTGAGGTGTCATTGAGATTCGGATTTTTGCTTCGCTGCTGAGTCAGCACAAGCTGAAGTGGGAGGAAGAGGAGGAGGAGGAGGAGGAAGAAAAGCGATTCCTCTCGGATTTATGTATTGATACAGCAGGCCAGAAAAAAGCCCCACAGCGGAGAACAAAACCCCCTTCTCCCCATTCCTGACCCAAACCCTCGGCTTCTCTGGGGCACGGGGCTGGTTTGGGCCGTGCCTGGGGGGGCAGGGAGGAGGTTTCCCCCCCCCCCCCCCT